TCTTCCAATTCGTCCACTTCGCCTTCTTCACCCTCTTTTATAACTCTTCTCCTCACAGATTTCCTCACCACCATTTCTGTTACACCTTTGGCTTGGATCAACTGTTTCTGCTCCATGTCTCTCTCTTCTTGTTTTAGCTTTTCTACCTCTTCCTCCCCCAGTTCTTCCTCTACTGCATGCTGAATTCTCCCTGCAATTTCATCAATTTCTTGTAGCCTTTCCTCAAGATCCCTCACGTCCCTCAATCTTCCTTCCAAAATTTCCTTCTCTGTAAATGCATCCACCAACATCACTGTTTCTCGCATCCTCCCAATCATCTCCTCAGTGATCATTTGCTGTTCTTTCACGCTTATGACCTGCTCCTCCTCCTCCCCCTCCGTGGTAGAGACTGGAAGAGTGATACAACAAACCATTTAAGTGCTGCAATTAATTGTTTTTTTTGTTTTGTTTTTTTTTTTACCATTTTTTACCCAAAAAAGTGTGAAGGTTTTTGCAGAAAGCCAGACAAAGAAACTCACGTTGAAGTTTTTCAAAATGCTCAGTGGGAGACATGCTGAGCAGACGGTCAAAGTACAGGAACCAGTCATCCTGATTTATCGCCACTGGTTCCAGTTGTTGGTCCATAGAGCTCGGTTTTGCCAAGCTAGTTTCAGCTGACATCAAAAAACAAGGTGCAACATTTTTTGTATCAGGTGATCAAACAACAACAAACTTCAAACGGCTGAAACGAGAGAGCCAGGTGGAGCCACGCGCCTGGTTTCTTACTGAGTAGTGCCGTGTGCATATAGTATGGTGGCAACATGAATGAAGTGCATATTAAATTTGCGATATTTGACGTTACCCATGCACTATAAAGGTAGATACCTGGCTCTTCAACAAAATCAAAGGGTGAGATAAATGGAATATGAGGCTGATGATCCAGAAGAATAAACCATTCATCTTCCATTCTCCTCTGCTGGTGATCGTCATCGCTCGCCAGATCCTGCCACGGCTGACTGACTGTCTGGATAATGGTTTGAGAACCAGCAGTCCCAGTCTCCGTGCCAACAGTACGCCCCTCCTCTTTCCAGGACTGAGTGAAATTCTGCTCAAACTCCCTTCCGGCTGTGAAGACATGACGAGGTGATGCCAGTTATGTAATGGTTTTGCTGCAGAGATGACGACCGGCTGTGAATGCTGCACAGCACTTCAAGCAAGCAAGATTTCAAGCTTTTGTGCCAGACTTCTGTGAGTCCAGTAAAGCGAAGTTAGTATAAAGATGAATGAAAGATGCCTTTTGCACTTTGGAAAACAAACAGGCTCCAGATGGAACCCGTTACAATGATGGGCACTGGGGCAGTGAGGCAGGGAGGTCAGTCAGTCAAAAGTTCAAGCATAAAGGCACGCGCTATAAGCAAATAAAAGCGGTTGTGCAACACACGTTAAGTGCAAAGTTATGAAATGAAAAAAAAGAGGAACAAGAGCCTCAAGACTGGAAATACCTGTTTAGAGTTACATTTGTGAGGAAATTTGTTTAATTTCTTTCAGATTTCAGTAACCAATAATACTCTGGAGTCACACCGGGGAAAGTAGAGGGTACGTGTCCCATCTCATGTATCAGAATAGGTCACTTTCCAGACAAGCTAACTGTGCTGAACAGCAACAGTTTTGCAGGTATGGAAGCAAAGATGAATGGAAAAATGATGCAAAAAGGCTGTTAGATCCTACAAAGCAATCTGCGAGTAGAAGGTATACCAAAAGGCATCACTTCACACACTTCCAAGTACCTGTGAATTCGGAAGAAGGCTGGGGTCTGTCAGATACCATCAGCAGTGACCAATCATCAACCTGAGTCCTGGCTGATGCCAAGACTACCTGCAGAAACTGGAGAGTTTCATCTCCAGGTTCTATAGCAAAAGAAGTCAGAGGGCACCTTATTGGACCTGTGGTTTATTGCAGGACACACACACACACATACACACACACAGATGTGACAACATACACTCACGCATACCTCCATCTAGGTTGCGAGACAGCCTCTTGCTTGCAGATCGTGTGAAGCGAGGTGCCGGCCGGTCGATCATGGAGCTCGCCTGGCGGGTCTGGGCCTGAGTACGACCGCTGTACCGGAACTTAGAGCCCAAGGCGAGGAAGCGACGTGAAGAGGGCGGCTCCACTGTTGAAACCCTGAGCAAGAGATATAAGAATTACATTTTAATCTACACATTATTTGACCATTACATGAACACTGTGGATTCAAAATTATAAACCCTGCACTGTCTTCTTAAAAAAAAAAAAAAAAGGATTCGTGTTATGTAAAAAGATTAGCAACATGTTTGGATTTATCTCATTAAAGAGACAAAAGGTTTAAGGGTGTTCAGCTTTTCCTCTGTGGTTAAAACTGCTGTGGTGCCAATACAGGGCTTAAGGTGGACTGAGGAGTTAGCCAATTAACAAGTGGATAGGGAGGACCTAAGTGTCACTCAGAATCAAAGTGTTGTTACCTGAAGAAGGTATGATGTTCAACACAAACTTTCCACAGCTTCTTTGAGGCTTTGTAGTTGGGCAGCTTGAAACCAATGGTGCTTTCATACTGCTCTTGCTAAAAGCAAAGAAACAAAAGTCAAATTCAATGACTCCATAGCGACATTATTCTGCAATTGTGAAACACAGTTTTCTTTAATAGGAAATCTATGGAAATTGGATCTGTGTAGAACAATACAAAAATCAATACAGGTCAAACATACAGACTATGTAAAGTGAGATTTACCTCTGACGGCCTGATTTTGATAAAAAAGCTGCTCCGTTTGTATGAGATCTTGAGCACTTTGGGCCAAGGGAAACGGTTGATCCTCAGCTTGTCTTTGTAAACCATCAGACCACTGGAGCAAACGCCCAGCATTATATCAACACCGTCCAGATCCTGCATGCAAGAAACACCATGGAACATTTACAACCCTGACCAAACACCGCCAGCCTACACTTGCAATAATCAGTCACCGGGGGGCAGGCTTTCTCACGAAACACGAATGCTGTTTGAGGTCATGCAGTTTAGGATGTTATTAATCTCTCTTTTTTTTTCCAAAGCGGGATGACATCAATTTTGTAATTAAATATGGATGCTACTGCTGCAATACAATGATGCTATTGTAAAAAGAGCATTACGCTAACATTATATTAAAATTGAATAAAAATCAATACATGCATACATACTTGTGACATGCTTCTATGAAAAAGACTGGACCACGTGTTAAGAAGCAAACCATTCATCCAAACCAGTAAAATAATTAAAAAAATAAAAATAAACATACCTTGGCTTGGTGCAGGTCAACTCCATACATGGCGAGCTTCTTGGCATTTTCCAGAAACAGCAGGTCTGCCTGGGCTGGACTCATTGATCTGGAGGCACACACGATAACATTTAATTCAAAGACGTATTTTACTGTCAGAATCATTTTTGAGGCTCAATCATCTTCAAGCAGCTTTGAAAATGAATTAGGCTCCTTCAATGTATGCACACTGGGCTTAAATGAACACTGTGAAAAGGGCGTGTCTAGACAACTCCTTAATGACCTGTATGTGCGGTGCAGATCCATCACTTTTTCCTCCAGCTCTTTGCTCTGTCCGGGGGCCAGGTTCAAATCTTTAACGTAGTCTGTTCCATGGAGCTCGGGGTCATACTCTCCGAGTTCTGACTGGGCTGTGTAGGAGCCCAGCAGGGACAGTGTGACAAAGGAACAGGGAAGAACACCACCCATAATGTCCTTTCTCAGCTGGAGACACAGAAAGTACCTGGAAAAAGTGTGAAACGATTAAGGAATTGAGTCCATGAACATTTATTCTGGGTTAAACAAATGCAGTGCAAAAGCTCCCTATCGCCTCATGTTGATCCATTCCTTTAAGCTGATGCTTGCTCACCTGGTTAGGTCTTCAGTAAGCTGAGCTGGATCAGGAGGGTAGAACTTGACGTTGAATGTAAACTCATAGACAGCACCTGGAACCTGTTTCCGTATCTCTTTGGTGGATTCCAACCATGTCTGAGCAAAATAGAAGAAATGCAAGAAAATTTGCTCACTTTTTTTGCACTGTCATTCATAACATCCAATTATGCTCCAAGTAATTAACACTACAGAAGGGTAAAACCATCCTACCTTGCTGGTTGGGGTTTCCCAGTGAGCCAGGCCAAAGTAGTCTTTCTCCAAGAGGTTAACATGGTCACACACCTTTGTAAGAAGTTCTTGGCCTTTAGCATGTTTCTAAATGAGAAAGAGAAACGCAGACATGGGACACACGGCAAGAGAAACTCTTCAGTTTCCATGTTTATCATCACAGATTAGCAAACGCAACAGTGGTGCATTTTGGGAGGGTTTGCTTACATCAAGTTCACACTCAAACTGAGCGTCGTCCAGCAGGGTGACTTTGCACTGCATGGTCTTCTGACGTTTAGAGCCTTTTACCTCTTCAGTCTTCTTTTCTGTCTTTTCTTTTGCAGGCTTCTCTTTCTTTGCCTGCTTTTGTTCCTTTTCCTCTTCTTTGATTGGCTCTTCCTTTTCTGCTGGTTCTTCCTCTATTTTCTCCGTGTCCTCCTGTTTCACTTCTTCCACTGCTTCAGCCTCTTTTATCACAGCCTCTTCCTTGTGTTCCTCTTGGGCTGGCTAAAATAGTCAAAACCAGACAATTGTCAAAGTGTGTCACAAAGATGAAAGAGAAAGTGGGAGACGTTATACAGAGCACCATACTAAGGTAGTACTCAAATAACCCAGGATGAACCCGAGCGGTTGATACTAGCATTAGTTCAAACCAGCATGGGTCATCTTTGTTTCAGACCAGCCTTTAAGCCCAAGTGAGCGCAGTGATGCTCACTGAGCAAGCTGTCCACATAAAAAATTTATTAGAAAGCAAAACCCAATCAGCAGCATGAAGTGCTTGTTTATAACCTTTGTCTGCAGTGATGTTCTTTTTTTAGCCCTTGTTTTATAAAATACAGTTAGATGAGTTAGATGAATCTGTCTGGAGTCGGTCTACAGCACCTCTGAAAGTCTGTAATACCTCTTTTCCATCAAGGTCAGGCTTCCTGGGGTCTTGTTATCACAAGGACATTGCAAACAGTCTGAAATCACGGCAGTCGGCTTAAAAATAGAACTGCACATTACTCCAAAAAAAATACGGTCTGTTTTTAGTGTTAGCTTTGTTTTTTGGTAGAAATATACAGGCAAAATATATTGTTTGACCCGTAAGTTTTGGAAGTCTGTTTAGGAGAGGCAGCCATATCTTTACATTTCCAGTGATCATGCTAATTTAAGCCAACTGCCTACTAGTTCTACTTTCATCTTAATCACAGCGAATCTTAGAACAAGTACTCTAAATGTGAGATTGTTAGGACTCACCTGCACCTCTGTGCTGCTTATAGAGTGCTGATCAGCAGCCTGTTCAATATCTGGCTCAGTTTTAAGCTCGGGCTCAGGAGCAGCAATCGGTGCTTTCACCTGCTCCTCACTTGGTCCTTTCACTTCCTTCACTTCCTTCTCCTCTTTCTTTCCTTTGCTCTTTCCCTTGTCTTTTTTCTTCTCTTTGTTCTCTTCTTTTTCCTCCTTTTCTTCCGGCTTTGCTTCCTCCCCTTCTTTCTCTTTCTTCTTTGCTTCTTCTTTCACCTTTTCGTCTTCTTTTTTCTTCAACTCCTCTTTTGGTTTTTCCTCTTCTTTTGTTTTTGCTTTTTCCTCTTTTGTTTTCTCCTCTTCTTTCTTCTTAGCTTTTTCCTCCTCTTTCTTCTTCGCTCTCTCGGCTTCTCTGGCTTTTTCTTCTTCTTTCTTCTTTGCTTTTTCCTCTTCCCTCTTTTTTATCCTCTCTTCTTCCTCTGCTTTCCTTTTTGCTTTCTCCTCCTCTTTCTTCTTTAATTTCTCTTCTTTTTCTTTTTTCTTTGCCACCTTCTTGTCAACCTTTTCTTCCTCCTTCTTTCCAGCGTCTGCCGCCTTGCCTTTGACCTCAGAAGTTTCCTTCTTTTTCTCTTCCTTTTTCTCCACTTGCTTTTCCTCCTTTTCTACAATCTGCTGTGTTGTCCCTTCCTTGTTTTGCTCCTCTTTTTTCATCAACTTTTCCTCCCCCTTTTTTTCCTCCCCCTTTTTTTCCTCCCCCTTTTTTGTCTCCTCCTTTTTTGTCTCCTCCTTTTTTGTCTCCTCCTTTTTCACTTTCTCTTCATCCTTTTCTTCTGCTTTTTTCTTGGCCTCTTTCTTTTTCTTTTTGCTACCTTTCTTCTCTACTTTTTCTTCCACGTTCTTTTTCTGTTCTTTAGGTTCTGCTTTGTCGTCTTTCTTTTTCACTTCTTTCACCTCTGGTTTTTCTTCCTCTGCTTTGGCCTCCTTGTCTTGACTTTTCCCTTCTTCCACCGTCTCCTCTTCTTTCTTATCTACTTTTTCCTCTTTGTCTGCCTTTTCGTCTTTGGCTTTTTCTGCCTCAAACACCTCTTCCTCAGAGCACTGCGATCGGCGTTTGAGGAAAGAGGAGAAGAGACGAGAAAGGCCTTTGCCAGCAGAGGTCCTGGTACGAGGCTTTAGCTGCTCCTCCTCAGGGGAGGTCGCTGCTTCGGCAGGCCCAGGCTCAGTGACCTGTTCCTGGGCCTTTGTGCTCGACTGCTCCCCCTCTGGGTCAGATGTAGCCGCCTCTGCCTTCTGCTTGTTCTCTGGTTCGGGTTCGGGCTCAGCACCACTGGTCTTCTGCTTGCCCTCAGTGTCTGCCTCAGTCACGGCAGTTGCCTCTGTTGTCATGGTAGCCACTGCGAAGGTAAAACAGAAGGGAGTCATAGATGAAGAAAGGTCACAGCATTGATGGTGTCCAACAAACCAGGTTAACTTAACACTTCATTTACACAAACGCAGTTTTGGAACAAAAGGTTTTTTTAAATAAATTTTAGGACATTTTTAAAGCATTTTTTGACATTTTACAGGTAAAACTAGTGACTTTTTAATCAAGACAGCAACTATCACATCAGCTACACAAAATTTACTAAAATCTGTGGATTATTTCCTGTTTTAAGCTCTATCTAATCTGTCTTTCAGTCATCGCCCTCGACTCAGATTGCCAGCGGAACAGATAATGTTTTATTTTATGACACAAACAGGATTATTTCTAACCGTTCCTGCTTATTTTCTCTTAAATATTCTTCATTTTGGCTTACACGCTTAATTAACAATAAGCAATTTTTCACTGTAATTTTCATTGTAGCTTCAGTGTATCGTTAGCTGCCTACTCCTTAAGAGTGCCTATTATTTATTAATATTCCAGGAAACATGGAGCCAACTGCCACCTACAGACTGCGCCGTGACTCAAACACACGCACGTATTTACACATGCACAAACATCATTTCATCGCACAATGGCCCTCCTTGTTGCAGAGTGTTTCTCTGTCTGCACAGAGATCTCACAACAGACTCATTAAAGCTCACTGACACAAAGGAGGCATTCTGCTCCGGATTTGCCTATTAGCACTGTCTACATTGGGCATGCCTGGCTCTTCAAATCACACACGCCCCTCATGCTTAGGTCATCTAAGGCACTAGAACAATATGACAATAAAGAGATAAATAAACCAATAAAAAGCTTATAAAGTTTTTTTAAAGTCATCCTTAACATCTAAAATTGCAGGTCAATAAATTAGCTCTACTCTTATTTCAGTCACATTTTGCTCTGCACAGTATTGTTATTGTATATGTCTGCTAGTAATGAGTAAATAAGCCACCTGATTACTTACACAATTTCAAATAGTTTAACAAATCGAGATTTAAAAAATATTTCTTAGTGGTTTCACGTCCATCTCATTTTACCTCTTGTACTTTTCAACCTCACTCGGTTAAGGTGAGGCTGACTTCTGTCAGTATGTAACAGAGCGAGCATACCTGCCCGTCTTATTACAATCAAAATGATGTGACTCGCAGTCCCAGTACTTGGGCCCTTTAATGAACACAACTTTGATCCTCTGCGGTGGCAGTGTGAGGACAGATCTGGTATATTTAGAAACTTCTAACCAGCTGATTAAATCACACGGGGACTAAAATAAACTGCAGGTATTATGCAATGGCACAACACCTCGCTTAAGCAAGATACAGCCACTCGCATCGCAGATCAGCTCCTTATTTCGACTGTGCCGACGTGCACGCTCCCCCGAACTAGGTCTCGTCTGACTGGTGACGAATGTGGCTGTGTTTTTGTCTCGACCATATGTAGTTCAAGTCCCACCCTGGGCTGGGGGAGGGGTGGGGGATGGGAAAACGCTAGACGGGCAGACGGGCCAATCTTCCAGATGCACGGGGCCGCCCCTGTTGGGTGCAGCCTGGACCTCTATACCGTGCACTTCCCACTGGCACTACAGGACAGCGGGAGAGGAGGAGGGGGGTACACATAAGAACAAATCCTCTTTAGCCCTCCCATTGTTTGTGTCCAGTGACCAATAACTGGGCTGAACACTATAACTAATCCTGCCTACCCTTCCCCCCATAAGACACCCCCCCCGTAGGCCTATTCCCTAGGTCACCACACACACATATGCACATACACACACAGATAGTGGTATGCATCAATGCTCACAGTCTCCTTTGGGTCTTTTAGTGCTCTGTCATCTCAATTCTGATTGTCAGAAAGCAGACATGCTCCTAATGGACCAGCTGAGCTTGTGTCTGCTGCCTCCTCCATTTTGTGTTGCCTATCTAACATCTCTGCTGTCACCCAGCTGAGCAGGCCCAACCTGCATCCTGACCAATTGAGACGGCGACCGTCACGCCACAGGATCTCAACTCACAGTTAATTTCTAGCAACGTGACTAATATCTCCTCTTACACATGGATGAAATGTTGCTGCACCGAGAGGGATAAAACTGCCCTCAATACCATATAATTAGTGTATCTAATGAGCTAAATTATAGATGAAGCAGGCCACCCTCCAGCATAAGTGAGCTGCTGGATCAGGTGTGGACAGAACTGGAGTCAAAAGAGGATGTGATTTAGAGTTTATTATGCTCTTAATTCATCTGAAGGTTATTTAAAAATCTGAAAACAGATGATATGATTGAGTGAACCTGACTTACAAGAAAAATTGCATATGCTTAGTTATTAGTTATTAGAATAACTGCTTGAACTGATGCTAACCCAGCCACACGATCAAAGCTCTATTTATCATTCTCACACTCCGAAAATATATTTGTCTCGCTACTAAAACCGTCACACTGTTTACCAGTGACGCTGCAGCAGCACCGCTGTGTGCATGTGTAATAAAATAAAAGCAGAGGGCTGAATGAAGACGAGCTTGCAGAGACGCAGGAGGAGGAGGAGGTAAAGTATATAAATAGCAACGTGTGCGCAAGAAGCTGGGACTCATTAGTCGGCCTCTACAGACAACCTCTATATCTATTCCAGTTCGCAACACGTGTATACATGTGTGCACCATCGCAACTGCACACTCAATTCCACTTAAAGCCCAGTTTTTGAAAATGGATTTAATCTGAATGAGTGCACTGCTCCTTTGTTATCAGCACTGACTTAAAATAAGCGCCGTCCCAAAATAACTGCAACGACGTATAAATACTAGAAGACAACGAAAGCATGTTTCCTGGGCACTGACAGTAGGCTTAAGGAATTAGAAGGAGTTTAGAGTTAATCAGCCCCCAAGTGACCAAGTGAGATTATCTCCATCTACCTGCCCACAGGATCTCTCTCTCTCTCACATTGTCGCCCTCCACCCTGATTCGCCAGCTCTGTGCTCCTCATCCTACATGCATCTGTATGTGTGTGTGTGTGTGTGTGTGCGTGCATGCGCAAGGAAAAAGAAAAGCTGGCAGAAGCACAGTGGTGATCCGCTGTGCTGATTCATGGTTTTATGTGGAGCCCCGCCTACCTGGCTGAAAATCAACAGAAATGAACTGAAGACCAAGATATCAGCCCCTCCGGCCACATGGTGGCTCCCATTAACCTCTCCTTGCAAACAGAGGCACACATGACAACATACACGCCAACACGTGCCTCGCTAACCTATTCGTGTGCGGTTAACATAGAAGCCTGCCTAGCAACACTGTAAATACAAGCACACGGGCAGGGATTTATATCCTTATTTCGTCTTTACAGTTTTCATAAACACTTTTCTTAAATGATCACAGGATGTAAATTGCTACTGTGTAGTTATGGATTATGGACAGGAAGCATAGACTGACTACAACAAATGAAATGTAGCAATCAAAGTCCACAATCTCCCGTGTGAACCGGAGGACGGTCGAACAAACGGTGTTGGTTTCCAATGGTTTATTTCAGTCTGGCTATCAGTGTAAACCTATCCCAAACTCAGTGCCACACCAATCAATACACACAGATGGTGTCTGTGAGTGTGATGCTGTAACATGAACCGACATGGGAAAACAATGAAGTACCGTGATTGATTTACTGCGGTTGCCCTGAAAGCAATTTCGAATCCATTTCCAACATTACCTCAGCCACCGCCGATTAAAGTCATAATATTTCTGTACATTGTGAACGAAAGCTTCTTTCCATGTTGCAAAGACATAGAAATACAGACACGTTATAAGATTCAGAATCAGCTTTCTGCCATTACTCAGTTTCCTGTCATTAAGTGAAAAAAATGTCTAATTTGATCCTAGAATTATTTGTGAAAAGGTTTTGTTAAATTTACTTTTTCCTTGATGTTTAATAATCGTAATCGCTGTCCTAACTGATGAAGGAAAGAGCAAATGGCTCTAAGGGATGCAGAGTCTGTTCCCTGTTCGGTAATGCTCATACAACACAGTAGTAGTCTAACTGCTCGAATGCATCATAACTCCCAAAAGAGGATTAACATCAGCAAGCTCTTCTGGGACCTGGATGACCTCACTCTCACACAGAAAGACCAAAAACATCCTTGTGTATCACTTCAGCAGCTCTGTGTCCACAACACTGCTGATTCAGCAGTGCAGGAGACCCTCGGTCTTATCTGTTATTTTTAACCTCCGTGTTTACCTCTGTTGCTCATGCCAGCACTTGCCAGTTCTGCTGCATTAGTTCAACCCGCGACACTCTCCCTCATCCGCCCTACGTCACATCTGCAGCGCTTCATAAAAGATTATCTGACTATATATATTCAGCAGTATCATCAATGGAGATGAGGCTTATTGGATGAGTTGCTCCAAAGTACGCAGGCAGGAACAAGACAGACACAGGCAACTGTGGTAAAGATGGGTATCTTTTAACCCCTAATACACTCCTCACGGGGCAAAAGCAAGCAGAAAATATGAAATCCAAAGCAGAGCAGCACCAATTAAAAATAAACAAACAAGCAACAACTGAACATCTGAACAGAGAAGACAGACACAAGAGCATCATCAGCAATAACATACATTTTACGTATGATTTAAGAGACCTAAACAGGGCAGCCATTCTCAGGCATCACAGTCAATACTTTTAAAGCTCTTTATGTACCTGTCAGACAATAAAAAAATAAATGAAATTAATGAAATTAATAAAAACACAGTTTTATAGAAAACCTATGTTTTTTCTCTTGTTATAATCTGTTTATCAATTTTTTTCAATCATAATATATCAGGATTGCTATAATAAAAAAGAGGGAAAATTGCAAAGTGGGTTTTCCCGAAATGTCTAAATGCGCCCTCTTTTAGCGGAGCGATCATTGCATTTATTTATTTATTTTACACTAAACAACAACACACCCTGCCTCCACACTACTGTTCGTTTCTAAAGGTGTTTTATTTGTTTGGTTGTTTTAAACTAAACAATCCTCAAGCGGAACAAATTCATTAATTACGCGTTAATAATAATCAATTAAGTTTAAAATGATCTAAAATGTAACTTTTTCACCCTCCTTCCCTGAAACAGTTACGGGCTGTGTCGGACCTACATGCCGGGGTATTTAAACAATCTGTGCACGAAAATGGCGCCGAATGTGCAACAAAACAAACACACACCGACTCATCTCCACAGCCCCGGCGCATGCGAGCCTGAAATGCGGCTTACCTACTCCGGGATCAGCATCAAGGAGGAGACTGGATGGCGCAAAGACGGACAGAAAAAAATGCGATATTCCGCGCGTTCACACGAGAAACAATGCTGCTGAGCGACACATGCTTTGTTGTGCTTGAAGGTGTCCGATGCTCGTAAAGGGGTGGAGTCTCACGCCGAGGCTTGGACTTCAGCTGAGCGAATGAGCACCAACCAGCGTGGCTTACAAACCCATGCCAAGGCGGAGGAGATGCACACAACTTTCATATAAGGCTGATGAGGCCAGGTCCAGAGAAATTCTGATTTAATATAAAAACGGTGCATATTAATGACGCCTAGAACATTTAAGATGGTTTTAGAAATTGCTCAGGAATGAAATTTAGTAAGGCTATGTGGGTTTGCCAAGTAAAAACCCATATTTTGATTCATTTCACTGTATTGACCCCTTTTAAAAGTGCATGCGTGGTGTGGATCAGTTAAAGCGAGCGATCATTAGTACAGTGCAACGCCCGGAAGCAGGAGGAGGCAGGCACCAACACAACATAGGTAAGGGTCTCAAGACTGCAGACGTGACAGAGGAACTCTACCCAGCTGAAAACTACAATCCCAGACACACACATCTCAAAATTCAAAAACAAGCTCACACACATATGGGTCTTGTTTTTGGGCACACACATACACACAAGCTGTCTTTATGGACCCCATGACAGTTCCCCCACCCATCTGCTTGACCCCATTAGCGACATACGGCTCATAAGCAGAAGGGGGCTCATTATTCTCAGAACCACACGGGGGTGAGGCACCATCACCTTTGTCCTACACAGGCAAGTTCATGTGGCGGGCATTATCAGTGTCATGTCATGTCTAGCACTATTATATGCTGTATATCGAAGAAGATAAAATATCTTACCGGCAAAAAAAGGTTATCCCGTGATTCCAACTAAAATAATACCGGGTTGCCGTAAAGTCCGAAGCTTTTACCGTCGGGGCGAATGATGAAAGTGAACAGAAAATATCTCTCCAGGCCAGTAACAGTCGGTGTGTGTCTGTGTGCTTTTTTTTTCTTTAGACTTTGATCGCAAAGCAAAGCGAGGACACCATAACAGCACACCGACTGGCATTTGTTAAACATTTACTTTGACATAACACATTAACAGGAATCAGGGTTGCGCACAGGCAGGATGTAAGTTTTGTGTAGCTACTGAGGAGAAAACAGAGGAAGAGGAGCAAGGCAGGCAAACAAAACCCATATGAACAACTTGCATTGCTTCCAGTTGCTTAGGAACCCCTGCCCAGCCCTAGGCCTACTGCAAGGAGCAGGTGTTGAGCTGGACCCAGGAGAGGGAGGAGAGACAGACTACAAAGGGGAGGAGAAGAAGAAGAGGTGCAGAGCACTGGCAGACCCAGTCTCTTGAGACAGTGACAGCCTGGAACCGCAGACCCTGAGACGGCCCACCTCCATGCACTCACACAGTAGACACACCCAAAACACTGACACAAACATTCTGCTTCCCCTGCCGCTCTTCTACATTTGTTCAAAAGCGCAAGCAAACACGCACATATAACGGAGCCGTGCATCACTCCAGCTGAGTGCATGGGGGTTATGTTTGTTTGGAACATCTTTATCCCTCTCTGGCACTATCGCACGGTGATTACGTAACGCCCCCCATACCACTTCCACCCAATTCATCTCTCTTTGACTTTCGTGACTGCATCTGGGTACGCATCTCTCTCACACACACACGTGCACTAACACACACACGCCCTATACCCTTCCCTTTACATCTTATGTAAAACAATGTGTGCAGCTTAAAAAAAATGCTTTAAAATGTGAAGTTTGAGTGCATCTGAGAGAGGCACAGTTGCAGGAGGTTTTCTCTGTTGTTTTTTAGCTCAGAAACTGAGCTCTCAAAAGCACTAATGTGATAGATGGTAAGAGTACATCAATATTAATTGTGCACCATTATGTTATGAAGAATTTATGAAGCGGGAATGTTCCATGCTTCTGCCCTTTCCTTCCCACGGACAAGTTGCCCCTTCTTATTCTACTAGGGCACATTTGACTCTCTTGCACTTTAAGGACAATAAATTACGCTATAAAAGGTACAGAGCAGGAAAACAGCTGAACGAGAGTGAATTTAAATGATCGATTTATTATTAATGAAGGTAAAACGATTGTTGTGCTCTGCACTCCACGTTGTAGTGATGCTCTATCCTTCTGCCCCTCTGTGGTGCAGTTTTCACTTTGAATGTATTTACTTGTTTATTTTAATCTTAACTACAAAAACAAGAGCTAAAAATGTCATTTTTTAAATGCTTCAATCATGTTATACTGCTAATCAATGTGGACTATTCATGAGGCTTTTTTTCATAAGAGAAAATTCTAATAAAGATACTGTTGAGGAAGTCAGATTGGAAGCAACATGCTTACATACATGTGTTTGGATGTCATCTGATTTTAATGGCTGGTGGAACATTGAACAAATTGTGGCAAAAATGTGTTCTCAGCCAACTAAGAATAGATGTGATCTCCTGAAGCTACTGTACAAAGGTGTGTTGGGTTAGTTTGCACTGCCACCTGGTGGTTGACTTAAATGTAGTTTTGCATGTAAACTCCCAGAATGGAAGCTTTTAATTTCAGTAACCAGTGTGATGGTAAAAACAGTCTCATCTTTGTATCATAAACCACAGTAAACCTTTCACTAAAATCATCTTTCCATTATCCACTTTTATCCATGTGTAAGTCATATTTTGAGTGTTGTAACAAACAAAACAAAAAAAGACACTGAGGCGGAAGATCAGCTAGTTCAAGCAGTTCAGCATAAATTATATCAGATGAGTAAGAGAGGATCACCGCCAATTCTAGAGGTGTAATGCATGCTGGGAGCGGGTGTTCATGAGAGATAAAGACCTGTTTGCGTCCAGATACCTCAGGGTGACACCATTAAACAACTCCGCCCAAAATTTAACTAGGCTTTGAGTAACCAGCAGTAAAACAAAAACTATGTGCCATAATTTTTGACAGGAAGTACACTATAGCCTTTTCAGATCAAAGCCTTAACAAAAGCAATCTTCTCTATTCTAAAACATTTTTAACCCCCAAATTTTATTTTTCCCAGATAGAAAGAAAGTGTCAGAGCTGACTCTTCCCTCACATCCACTACCCCAAAAAATACTGATAGAGTCTGAAGTCTGAACCCAAAGTGAATGGTTTAAAATAGAAATAATGAATAAATGAATATTTAATCATCTCTCTAAAGCTTGATGAGCTATGTCTTTAGGGAAATGCTTCCTCAATATAATTGAAATGCATCTGTGCAGTTATTTAATTATACAAACACTCTGCATTAACTATAAATTGCATTCAGGTGCATTAGGAGAACATCACACATGACAGGGTAAAAAAAAAAATCATTGTAGGGCTTTAGCAGAGCACTCACAAAGCACAGCACGAATGCCTTTCATTCAAATTAAATGGATAATACTCACATTATATCCACGTAGAAGGTCATTTCATAATGCATGCGCAGTCGCAGATGGAGTGACCAGGTCAAGACAGAAAGAGGGAGAGGGGGACAAAAGTGCATCAGTAAAGAAACACACTTTTCTGTTTAAACAGTACAGATTTTAAGGATTTAGTTAAAAGCTGAGGTAGACAATAATATTATACATGATATTAATAAATGGCACTGCCTGTTAAGAAGTAGCATGCAGTGCTAGCATCATTTGAAGCACATGAAAGGAAGGGGAATGGGCCTGGTTATAGGTGACTTATCAGCTGTCCGCTCAAAGTAATTACATCACCAAATGTTTTCTTTCTCGGCTTCTTTTTCTCCACATTAACAAACAGGCGTTGAGTTTTTACACAGTTACTACACCGCTGCTGCTACCTGCATTCTTCCTATTATGCTAAGTATTTAAAGTGTTTAGGGCCCGGGAGCTTTGAGGTACTGGGAGCAGCCTAACGACACACCTCTGCATTCATTTGTGGGCATTTTTCTTTCTTGTTATGAAGTCATATTACTGCAGTAGGTCAGCAGTTCTCCTTCTCTTTTTGTTTTCCTTACCACAAATACTCCTGACCTCGCATAATCCTTCTAAATGCGTTGCAGTGAACTCTTCACGAACCACCGTCGTGAAGAAAACACGCCGCGAAAAGCTCTGGCAGGGGGAAAAATGGTGTGCAACCTAAACACAAGCAGTGTCTGAGACTGCGGGTCATACCTGAACACGTAGCAGTCTCCTCTGTGCGTCTTCTCCACCTTCAGCTTGCTGCCATAATTCCGGTGTTTACCTTCAGGACTAGTTGGAAAGTATCGATGGGGTTTCCACAGGGAGGCGGTGACGCAGCCACAATGACGAAGCACTAAGTACTGGTGATGGGTGGAGATCAGAGGTGGGAGCTTTGCTCAAAATCTTCATGGGGTTCTTATTTAGTTCTCACACAGTCTGTAAAGCAACGATTGAGCTTTTTTCTCACACACGCAAAGACATTTTTGTTTGAGCCTGTTTTTACAGGTGAGTGTGTCCCTGCAGCGGCACAGCTGAGGGGACTGACTCGGGGCTGCTCTGCCAACTATATGACAACTTTAGGGCCTGAGTACCTGAACAGCTTCTTCTAGTAAACTGTTGGAAACTTTCAATGTGATATCATAAGTCATTAGAGCTATTTGTGTCTGTGTCTGTGTGTGTTTTGTTTTTATTTTACAGCTGACTCCACACAGAGGCGCTGTTGTGCATGCATGTGTGAGAGTGCAGGTAATGCTGTATTTACAGTCACCAAGGAACTTTTATATTTACTGAGACGTGTTTCTGTATATGTATCAGGAGTTAATAAAAGTTGTGTTACTGCATGATTTGTACCTCTGATCTCATGTGTTATTGTGTGTCCTCTAAAAATGCACAAATAAATAAATAAATGGCTCCCTCTTGTCACGGCCTGTCATGGGTTTGCATTGGTCCCCTAGAGTAAGTGAATGCACAGAGTACTAAATCAGCCCTCACAAATAGACAGCGCCCTTTGATGACCTGGGATGTCTTCTTTAAAATGCAGAGTGAAATCCCAAAAGGTGCAATAGACCTCAATCTAACAGCTGATGCAGCTGGAGCATCTGTCTCCGCGTTACCTAAAGCCCAGAGGTCTATGCTGGCTCTGTCCCAGCAGGATATTATAACATACCCGGCCTTATAGATTTACTCCAGTGACGTGGAGTGGAACATTCACTTCAAACGACTTTAAACATTAAAAAAAGAAGCTTGAATTGAGATTCGATTTTTGTAACCTATAAATTTAAGGAAACTTTAAATTCTGTTTAGTTTTCAAATGCAAATATTTCAACCCTTATTATCACACAAAGCAGCCAGGATCCGCCCAGTGTGATTATAGGAAACATTTAACTCCTGCACAAGATAAGAGCGACCGTTTCCCTGAGCACGTATGCGTAGCGACTCTGTGGAATCGGCGTTAATGAAGTCATGTTGCCCCCTGCTGAACGTTTTCATTAAAGCGCAAGTGGTTAGATAATATAATTTTGTGTTTTAGTTCTCCACTTTAGCTATTACTTCTCCCACAAGAAGGTTATGATTTTGGTAATATTTGCGCGCGTGTCGTTCAATCTGTCAACACCATAGCTCGATATATTTTGAATTAATTCTGATTTTTTTAAAAATGAAAGAAAAACCTTGTAGTGGTAAAGAGGTTGGTCAATTTAACAATCTATTAAAATTTGACGTACACTCAGCAAGGTCTACAAGATCAACTTAAAGATCTATTGGTCAAAAAATAAAGAGAAAGCAACAAAAATAAACACATTTTTTAAGAAAGCCTAACAGCTTAGAAGCTATGATTCTTATAAATGTGGTGTGTGTATTATCATTATACAGAACGTAACCTATAATATCACATTAACTGATTATGACCAACCCCTAATAAATTTGTGATCAAAGACTTTTTTTCATTTTATATTTACTAAACATCTAAAAAAAAAAATCACTACACAATCAGATGCACTATGCACAAGGGTGTAGATTTGGTTTTGGCATTGGTGGGGACGGACGATTCAACCA